AGAGAGAGAGAGAGAGAGAGAGAGAGAGAGAGAGAGAGAGAGAGAGAGAGAGCACAGTACTTGGCGCAACCTAGCATGACTCGCGGATCAGGACACAAGCCGCGACGCCTCCTCACCTGCGCGGCCCTCCCCGAGGCCGACGAGGAGGCTCAGGGCGACGACGACGGTGACGACGAACAGCGACGCCGTTCGGCCGCTTCTGGCCTGGTGGTTCATTTTTCAAACCTCTGCCTCAGTGTAGTCTGGTGTCGGGCGGACGACTGGCCGCGGCTCGCAGGCCGGCGAGGAGGTGTCCGAGCAGAGCGAGCAAGAGTGTGTTGTTCGGTCGAGTGAGCCGTTCTCCTCATGGCCGGCCGATGGCCAGCGCAGCAGCAGCAGCAGCAGCACTAGCTCACTCGCCGCGGCTCAGGACGAGACCCCGCCTCTCGACCGGTACGATGGGTGGCCGAGCTCCACGGCGCGGCCGCGGCGGCCGGCGTCTCGTCGACTTCTAGCTCGCAACCCAGAGTGTTTTGCGAAACTATATGATGATTTTCGAACAAAAATCACCCCGACATTTTGTGTCCACCAACTCTCCATGGTGCGACGCGACCCCCAAACGTTGGACCACCATAGTCAATGCCACAGCAGGTCCTCTACAGTTCTAGTGTCGTGGCGACCGCTGACCGCTGCAACCGCTCTGAATGTCGCCCAGGGCCATTAACTTGGACAAGGAGTGAGATAAAATCCTGCTGGGTGAAAGTATGTATAGCGTTTGGGTCGATATCGAGAAGGAAAACACACATGGCATCGCCTATCTCACCTTCAGTTCACGACCGCTAGCAATTAAAGAATGACGTTTTGCGCAAAGATCGGAAAGTTAACCTAAAAGGTTTAATCGTTAAGTTAGAGTTAAAGTTACAGTCCGCCCTGCCCGTCGGCGAAACCGATTTGCGTTTTTCATGCGCAGCCCTCCCCTCCTCCACCTTCACTATTCGGCGGTGAACGATGATTAGATTGGAATACTAGACATGCTTGTTTTTTGTTTTTGTTTTTTTTGTAACTTCCCGACTAAATAGACTCGCGCCCCTGGACGTGGCGCTTTGGCCTTTGTGGTGGCGTCGTGGCTGCGATCGCTCCTTTGTGGGAGAGATGTCGCCCATGGCCATTAACTTGGACAAAGTATGAGATAACATCTTTTCGGGTATGTTGTGGTGGAGTCGATCGAAGTGGTTAACACGTACGGAAGCGTCCTTTGCACCATCAGCCCGACGACACAAGGGCTCCGTGTGCGGGGCTCACTTCGTTACCTGCCTCCCCAGCGGACACCATGGACGTCGTCCTCGCGCTGGCGCTCTTCTGCGCCGGTGCGCCCGGGGCCCTGCCCGCCTTGACCGTCGTGGACGTGTCTGCTGTCCCCGAGGAGGCCGCGAGCGCCGCGGCGCTGATGTCCCCGTTCCTCCGGCCCCAGAAGGCCGGCGTCGTGGTGCTCGGTCAGGTGCGGTGGGCCAACGCCTTCATGCGCGGCCTGCCCCAGGAGACGCTCCGGGTCCTGCTCACGGAGCCGTCGTACTACGAGGAGTCCGACCGCCTGAGAGTGCAGGTGCAGGTGAGGCACCACGTCTTCGTGGTCGTCGCCGACGGACCCGAGGCCCTGATCTCGCGTACGACAGGCATGACAAAATCGATGTGCAGGTTCCATCGCGCTCTGTTTTGGACCACAGCCGTCGCGACGTCCGCTCAAGAAGTAGTTGCCAACAAGACATTTCTCGGGGGCATCACGCAATGGAGAGATTGTAACGCTCAGACGGTGCTCGCCCTGACCGCCGCGGACGGCACCACGACCCTCTACGCCCTCGTGCCACCCGACTGCTCGGTGGCGGGAGAAGTTGTTCCGCCCGTCACAGAACTGAACCGCTGCGCGCCCGGGGAGCAGCGCTGGCTGAGCGGGGCCTCGCCGTTCAGTAAGTTCTGCGACCACTGGGTGCCAACAGAAAACAGAGATCATTTCACTTTATTTGTTATTGGGCAATGGGGAGGAGGCAACAAGCTTTACGACCTCCTATCGCAGAATATAAGGCGGTACAACAAATTCCGCGAGAAAGTTCTAGAGACTGTGGTCAATCTCGACAATAGACAACTCCAGGTAGTATTATCCAAGATTAAGCAGTGTCGTCTGGATGGGTTTCTGGTACTTTACCAAGTGGAGCCGCCCAGCAGCGACGACTTGACTTGTTTTTACGATTCGATGGGAACCCCCGTTGTCGTTGTCGTCCCCGCCGGCCTCGGCCCCGCTGTCAACCCCCTGGACGCCGTCCTGGTGGAGTTCTCGCCGGCGGTGTGGCTGGGCACGGCGCTGGCCGCGCTGAGCACCGCGGCCGCCCTGGCCTGCACCCTGCGCCGGGACCGCGGCGCGGCGCTGCTGCTGGCCCTGGCCCCCCTGCTGGGCCAGGCCCCGGATACGCCCCCGCCCGCGGGCCGCGCGCTGCGGCCGCTGCTCGGTGTGTGGCTGCTCGTGTGCATCGTGCTGGTGGCCGCCTACCAGGGGCTGCTGCTGGGCCAGCTGTCAACGACGCGCACGCACTCGGAGATCAACAATTGGCGTGACCTGGAGGACAGCGGGCTGCATGTGCACGCGTCGTGGCCCGTCCTCAACCAGCTGGACGGCGTCTTGCCGGAGAATGTTCGCAGACGGTTGATTGTTCATCGCTTCGTGAGTCCCATGCATTTCATCCCCAATCAGGTTGTGCTCGGTCGAAACTGTGCCCTTATTGTTGACATGGATGAGGCTTTAGCTCGAGGTGTCCGGTCCTGGCTTGCACCGACGAAGTCCTTGCACATTTTCACGACAGGCGCTCTGTTTTTAAGAATCACTGGCCTTTGGAGTCCTAGCTCGCCTCTCGGCAAGATTATTCCCGTAGCGTTCAGGAGGGCGCATGAGGTGGGATTGTCGCACCGACACAACGCCCTGGCGGACTTCAAGGAGCGACTGACGCGGGAGAAGGCCACGGAAGCCCTGGTGCCAGCGCGGCCGCTAACCCTGCTTCAGATGTATCCTGCGTTCCTGTGCCTCATAGGCGGCCACATTCTCGGCGCAGTTGTCTTAGTTATGGAGCTGCTGGTCTCGCGCCTGACTGTCCACGAGAAGCCCTAAGGGCCAGCGATGAGTTGTCTTGTTACTTTTAGTCTACCGCAACCATGATAGCCGTCCTTGCTAGCTATGGCCCCTGGACGCCGTCCTGGTGGAGTTCTCGCCGGCGGTGTGGCTGGGCACGGCGCTCGCCTGGCTGTTCACCGCGGGCGCCCTGGCCTGCACCCTCCGCCGGGACCGCGGCGCGGCGCTTCTGCTGGCCCTGGCGCCCCTGCTGGCTCAGGCCCCGTGGACGCCCCCGTCCGCGGAACGCGCGCTGCGGCCGCTGCTCGGCGTGTGGCTGCTCGTGTGCGTCGTGCTGGTGGCCGCCTACCAGGGGCTGCTGCTGGGCAAGCTGTCCACGGCGCAGCCTCGCGGGAAGATCAACAGCCTGCAGGACCTGGAGGCCAGCGGGCTGCCCGTGCACTCGTCGTGTTTCGGTCGTGCTGCCGGACAATTTTATCGGCATTGTGAGCGACCGAAGCGGTGGCCTCATTGTTGACACGGATGAGGATGTGGCTACGAAATCCTTGCATTTTAGATAGTCCCCAAGACTGTCTCTACCGGAAGGCAAAGTACCCGCCCCCCTCCTTTCCACTCCCAGCTGTACAAAAATTGAGGGGGGGCTTTGTGTCCTCATCGAGTGGACTGTCTATATTCTTAGCACACTGTGGGCTAATTTTTTTCACGGCGGGCGCTTTGCTTTTATAAATCAGTGGCCTGTGCTATACTATCTTTTTTGATGTGTTAGTTAGTTAGTTAGTTAGTTAGTTAGTTAGTTAGTTAGTTAGTTAGTTAGTTAGTCAGTTAGTTAGTTAGTTAGTTAGTTAGTTAGTTAGTTAGTTAGTTAGTTAGCTAGTGCAAAGTGCACACGTTTGCTCCTCCGTGTTGTCTTCTCCGCACTCCCGCCAGTCTAGTCATCAGTATCAAAAGGAGTCTCTATTGATTGGGGGGGCGGGGCAAAAGAGTCTTGTTTTCAAAACGAGGGAAAGGGGGAGAGTGGTACTGTTATCGAAAAATAAAAGAGGAATGGGGCATAGGGCAGCGCAGCAGAAAAAGTTCAGCGGTTCAAATGTCCGAGGTCAAAAACTATTTTTCTTCCTCAGATTGATAAATTTTGAGCGACTTTTAACCCAACCAAACCCGCTCAAAAACCACCAATAATGTAGTGCGAGCGCTCCCTCGGATAGCCTTCCATCGTTAAACGCAGATGCTCCTATTTTTGCCAGGGGCGTAGGAGCCTATGGGGCCGGGGGGTCCATGGCCCCCCCAATTTTCAGGGTTGGGGGGGCCGGCCCCCCCAACTTTTGGGCCGGTACAGTTACGAAATTTAACCCTTAA